GTTTGCTGTGTGGGCTGATCTCAGCCTCTCGTTTACAGATGATCGCCTCTTATCTTGAGCTTGCTGTGGTTAAAGTAAGACTTGTTCATTTGAAATCTTTTATTTGTTTGGGTCACCCGAATTAACATAGCTCTTCTTTTTTTGAAAGCACTGATATGGTAATAATCTTTGATTACTTCAAAAGCAAAGACATGTTTTCTTTCTTTTAGTCAATTTACTTATTATTACACTTTTTCCTAGAAGTTGTCTTATCACTTATAAAATCTCTTGATGTTCCTCCTTCATAATTTTAACCCCTTCTATCTTATCCGTATTTAAACTAGCGATTGGCATTAAAGTCTAGAACTCTGAACCGTCGCAATTATAAATTTCTTGCAATTTTTCGAAAATAGAACGGATATTGGGTTTCCATTGTGAATCTGTCATCCTTAAAGTAATATTTTATTTAAGTATTTCAGCATCTAACATGCTTTTTTTACTCATGCACATCATTTCCGGTAGTTCATTCATCAGCTACATTTCATTACGTCAATCTTATATTAACTACACATACTTATTTTCAACTACCAAGACCATGTACTTATTCAATGAATATCTAAAAGTTAGCCATCGAAAGGAAGGAACGACTTACAAGAGCAGAACATGTAGTGCATAGATGTAGTAGATGATGGTTTAGAACATAGGTTTAGTTTTGCGGACCACGTTTATACGTCGTCCCTCTCATTTTTCCAGTTTTCCAAATGCTAACTACTGGCTTATACTTCGGAATAGTATTCTATAAGCTGTCCTTTAATTTTCCCATCATTTTGTTCTCTTAGAAGCTAAGTTATGTTTTAGTTGAAGACCATCTTATTTAGAGCTTCCTCGTTTCTAGCCGTTTCACCTCTTTCAAAATTCCCCTAAGCGATCAGATTCCAAGCATTTCGAAGTTCCCGAGATTGTGGATCACGGTCGCAGACATTGATGTGTAGAGACGATGGAAATCGGCATACGGCCAGTGGTCGAACCAGTTGCCGAGCCGGAGATGCGCTGAGCGAGAGCACAAGGAGGTGGTGGTGTGGAGAAAACCGGCCCGAACCACAGATCTAATCGATGCCAAGTTGAACATCGATCTATGACAAATTCGATATTAGAACGGATGCTGTGCACTTTTGGGAAAATTTGTGAGGATTTAAAATGTTTATCTGGGTTTCAGAACACGTAAAGATCTTCGTTCGCTTTTCTATCCACCTGATGCAAATCCGAGCCGGTTTATCATGGAGAAGCAGGGCATCCATTTCAGTTCATACCTGGGAGTCGTCGCAAACACTCCGTGTACAGATAAAGAAAGTGATGTTGATGCTGCTAGAAATTAAACACACCACCTTTCAAACTTGGCAGACAACATCACAGAAGATTTCCTGCTACCACCAAACTACTTATTCCAAAACTACTGTATTAGTTTGCTCCTCTTAGTTGAGCTATCTTCAGACTCCTGCAGTGGATCAACCTGAATGCTAGCTGTTTGCTGCAGTTATTTTCCAACAATTTTGTCTCCTTGGGGTTTGCTAAGATTTTCTTGAGCAAGTAGCATTTCAGGATAATCTTACTAACAAATTCTAGAACTTGAAACAACATAATGAATGGATGACTTTTGAATCTTAAAGAAAAATTTTACGTCCCAAAATTTTGATCTATCAGTCACAGTTCGTCCAAAGAACATACAACCATAAGATCTTGTTCCTTAGACAGTGTTGTGATTTTTTCGCCAATTTCGCTTTCAATGGAATGCATGAAAACGCGGAGAATGCGAAAGTGGGTCGGCAATATTGAATTGGGGCGAATACGCGTCCTCATGGAAATGTTGTATTTGAAAATGGAGAAAAGTGTGCTAGATGTCGGAAATATTGAATCAAGGAGTTGCTGGATATTCCTGCGAGTTTGTTCTTTTAATAGAACATTGGACTC